AGTGTGTGAATGTGTCAGTCAAATCCTAATCTCCTAAAAATGAGAATATCAATCTTTGAAAATTTTGTACAACTGTCTATTCTTAAATTGGATGGTCATTACAATTATTGGTTAATGACCATGAAGAATTTTCTAAGGAGTAAGGAGATGTGGAGCTTGGTGGACGAAGACATTCGTTCCCAACAGGAATAGGATGCGCAAAGCAAGGTTGTAGAGGAGGTCAAACTTAAAGATTTGAAGGTTAATAATTTTTTCTAGGCGATTGATAGAGAGAAATCCTGGAAACCGTTATTAACAAGGAAACATCAAGGGTAATTTGGAACTCCATAAAACTTAAATATCAAGGGTCCACGTGAGTGAAAATGACACAATTTCAAGCATTGAGAAGGGAGTTTGAGCTGCTTACAATGAAAGAAGGTGAAAACGTAGATAACTTCTTGAGCCGAACCTTTACTGTGGTGAACTAGATGAAGACAAATGGTGAGACAATGGAGTAAAACATAATTATCATTAAAATACTTAGATCATTGACAGTTAAGTTCGATTATGTTATTTGTTCAATTGAGAAGTCCAACGATCTAAGTAATTTAACCATTGATGAACTGCATTGAAGTATACTCATACATAAACAAAGGAGGTTAGGATATCAAGAAGAGGAACACATGTTAAAAATAGCCCAAAAAGACAAATCAAGTCTTAGAAGGGGTCGAGGTGCATTCAGAGGAGGACCGTGGAAGAGGTAGAGGGAAACAACATCTAAATAAAGCATTGATTGAGTGTTTCAAATGGCATAAACCAGGACACTTTCAATACGAGTGTCCTGACTAGGAAAAGAAAGCTAGTTACGTTGAGTTAAACGATAAAGAGAAGCTTTGTTGATGTTATATGAAGAGTCTTCTCCAACAAAGAACGAACAAATATGGTATTTTGATTCGGGATGCAGTAATCGTATGATAAGGTATAAAAATGGTTTGTTGATTTGGTAGAAGAAAACTATAGAACAGTGAAGTTTGGCAATGATATGAAGATGACAGGGTAGCAAAAGGAAGTATAAGATTGCATTGAATGAGGGAACTCAGGTAATATTTGATGTTTATTATATTTTAGATCTAAAAAACAATTTATTAGGCATAGGACAACTTCAAGAAAAAGGTTAGTCATTTTGATTTCAAATGAAATTTGCAAAGCATTTCATAGGAAGGGATTAGTTATGCAAACTAATATGAGTGGGAATAGGATGTTTTATGTGTTAGATAGCTTCTATAGCACCAGAAAATTCTTTATGTTTGCAAGTTGATGTTGCTTTAAAAAAAGAAGCTCACATGTGGCATGGTCATTTTTGGCACTTAAATCATAAAGCCCTAACCACACTTTCCAGCAAGAAAATGGTGGCTGACTTACCCTCATTGAAGTATCCAAAGAAGATACATACTACCTATTTAATCAACAAGCAACATAGAAAACCTATATCAAGTAAGAGCCTATGATGAGCATCAAGACATCTTCAATTGGTTCACTTTGACATATGTGGTCATATTCAATCAACTTCAAACAATGACAAAAGGTACATCTTAAGTTTTATCAATGGTTTTACTCATAAAACTTGGGTTTTTTTTTTCTTACATGAGAAATCATAAGTCTTTGCAACAAAGTAATAGTTGAAAACAAGACTTCGAAAAAAGCTTGGAATGGTGAGTCTCCTGTGGTATATTACTTACGAATTTTTGGTTGTTTAGTACATGTTCATGTACCGTATTAAAGGAGAACTAAATTGGATGGGAAGAGTAGAAAATGTGTCGTTTTAGGAGTTAGTGATGAGTCCAAGGCATGAAGGTTATATGATTCCATCTAAAAGAATATTATTGTTAGTCAAGATATTGTTGTTGAAGAAGAGAAATGTTGGGGCTGCAATAGAATAGAGGAAGAAATCCAACAAGATGTATTAAAATGGAAAGATTAAGTTGAAAGTGATGGAGAGAATAACCAGAATGAAGAAGACAATGGTGAAACAGGCTACACCAACTTGAGTAGCAGTCCATCAACATCACCTCTAAATGCGACAAACACATATGGAGAATTAGATGTAAGGAGGGGTGCACGAGAAAGAAGAGCACCACAAAAGATGGCAAATTATGAAATTGGGGAAGGAGTATCTCAAGAAGAATCCTTAAATGCAATGATAACTGAAATTGATCCAGTCTCATTTGAAGAAATTATGAAAAATAGAAATTGGAGAGAAGTAGTGTCAAAAGAAATTGAAGTCATCGAGAAAAAAATCAAAATTGGGGAAGGAACCTACATTGAAGTATTTCCTCTAGTGGTCAGACTTAACATCATTTGTGTATCACTTGTCATTGCTGCTCAATTCGATTGAGAAGTTTTTCAAATAGACATGAAGAGTGTTTTTCTTTATGGAGAACTTAAAGAAGAAGTGTTTGTACAACAACCCAAGTGATTCATTAAGAAAGAAGAAGAAAAAGTTTATAGGCTAAGGAATACACTACATGGCCTTAAACATGCATCACGAGCTTGGTACAATAAAATTAAAGGTTATTTTGCGTGTGAAAATTTTGAGAGATATCCAAGTGAATACTCACTGTTCATAAGTCACAAGGAGGTAAAATATTAATAGCCAGTCTTTATGTTGATGATTTAATATTTACTAGAAATGATAAAATCATGTGTTTTAAGTTTAAAACTTCAATAATGCTGGAATTTGACATGTCTGACTTGGTAAAGATAATACATTTTCTCGGAATAGAAATTAAATAATGTTCCAATGAAATTTTTATGTATCAAAGAAGGTATGCATGAAAACTGTTAACCAAGTTTGAAATGAGTGATAATAGCGTTGTAAAAAATTAAATAGTACTAGGAACAAAGTTTTCTAAAGATAAAAAAGGAGTGAAAGTTGTTGAAATACTATTTAAACAATTGGTTAAAAGTTTCATGTATCTATCTAATTGTAACCAGACTTGACCCGATTTATGTTATTATTTTGATAATAAAGTTCATATCCAATCCTATTGATCCTACTATGTCACATAGGATTGCAACAACAAAAAATTATAAGGTATTTGAAAGGAACAACTAATTTCAGATTTTTTTATAAAGGATGAGGAAACAACTTAAGCTCATAGCCTTCATAGATAATGATTATGTTGGTGACTTAGACAATCAAAAAAGTACATTTGACTTTGTGGCTATGATGGGACCTGGAGCTATTTCTTGGTCCTTAAGTGAACAAAAGTAGTGACTCTATCCACCCTAAAAGCATGATGTATAGGAGAATATTGTGTGTTCTTCAGTGTGTTAGTGTGTTTTTTAGTGCGTTTGTCTGAGAAGGTTGCTAAAAACACTTGGAGTTGAAGAGAAAAACTATCATGTGCGACGACAATTCTACTAGACAATTATTTAGGAAAAATAAACATATTAATATAAGGTTCTAATTTTTTAAGAGGATTAATAAATGTTGAGGCCGTTAAATTAAGTTATTGTATTTCTCAATATTAGATTAAAGATATCATGACAAAATTATTAAAATTAGAGTATTTTGAGAAGGTTCATAATATGGTTAGAATAATTGAAGTCATTAAAATAAGTTAAATGTAAAAGTATTAATTAAGGTAAGCTAGATATAAAAGTATTAACTTAAGGGAGAGATTGTTAAAAATATTTGTTTTTCTTTTTTTTCTTTTTTTTAAGTACTGTTTCTAGGTAGAATCAGAGTTTTGTTCTAATTTTTTAATAATTACAATGTAATCTTTTATAAATAATATCTTGTAGACATTTCTTTTTACTATTTCTTTATTGAATATTAACAACTATGAGTAGAAGAAATTATAATCATGCGTCAAACACTTGCAAACAAAAAATAAAAATATTTAAAATTTATTCAATAAAAAATCACATTTCAAGTATATTTAATTGACACCAATCTAAAATTAAATTAAATTAAATTATATATATATATATATATATATATAATTATAACAAGGTTTATTTTCTTCCTTATATTCTTAAAATATTTTTTAATGTTTAACCATATTATTTTTCATATAAAAAAATATTAAAGCATTTGCGAAATTAAAATAAATATTAAATATAAAGTTTATAGAAAAGACATAAAAACATTTTTAGCATAAAAATGTGAAGTGAATCTCTCTTTTAATGCACTTTGTTTACAAAAGATCATACATCTTTTTCTATTTTTCTTCTCTGTCATTTTCTTATTTCCAACCAAACAATCACTAGAGCATTAGTTTATCTCCAAATTTGTCCTCAAAGTAAGAAAGTTGTATAAGTTATTTGTAGGTATTAGAAATCACGATATGAAAAGTTTAGTTTAAGTTTTAATTTATATTTTTTATTTCTCTAATTTTGAAATGTTATGCTTTTCATTTTCTCATTGGTTTACATCATGTTTAAAAGACTAGAAGTTACACATGTTAACATTTTGAAATTAGAGAGATAAAAAACTTACTTCAAGGATTAAATTAATGATTATTCAATTAAATTAATGATTATTCAATATTTTAAAATTATTTATATATAATTTACTTTATGCTAATATGATTTATAAGAAAAGTGAGACTTTAAGGATTAATTAAATCCACGATTCAAATAAGTTTAGAATGGATTAGTACATATAAATGTATGATATGAGTCTATTTTTAAAAATAACAATTATAATTCAATAATAATATTAATTTATTAATTTATTAATAATATATATATATATATATATATATATATATATATATATATATATATATATATATATATATAATACTTCACATGCATTAAAATAAGGTGTTTCATCTTAGTTCCAACCAGTCTTCATTATTGATTGAAATTAACTTATTAAGGAAGTGTAAAATTTTATAAATCACACAAAATCTTATTTTTCTTATTTGAAAAACTTTACACATAAATCTATAATTTGTAATAAAGTTTTATCTAATAATATAATATGATTATGAAGAGAGTGTAGCATACATATGCACCAAAACAAGCCACGGGGTTTTGTGAAGTTTTCTCTCATCAACATTGGGCTTACAGTACAAGAGCCATCGCAAGGCCGCGTTTGGCGTCACAAGACTACGATGGGTCAGGCATTTCGTCGAGCATCTGGAAGAATCCGAACAGCATCCGAAGCTGACACGTCGTCTTTCTCCAAGCCAAAGACCGCCGTCGATCGCCGACCGGCCCCCACGGTTGCCACTGACAAGGCGGTGCAGATGTCGAAAGCCGCCGAACAAGACGTACTTCACGCCGGTAATTCTCTCTCTCTCTCTCTCCCTGTAGGTTCAAAGGTTTTGGTTGGGAAATTAGGGATAAAGGATTGCGAATATTTTGTTCTTTAACATGATTTCATTTTGGGAAAAGCGGAAAAGCTAGAAGGTGCCTTGGAAATTAAGGTAGCTGACGACGGTTATCCCGAGACTGTATTCTACTATGTTGTGGTGTACTAGACCAAGGCCAAGAAACATGCCGGGGTTTGTGAATGTTATTTTTCAGTTTAAAGTATTGCTTTTGGAAATGTTTTTGCATCCACATTGGGTTGGGTTATGGGTATGCAAGCTTAGTTCAGCTGAAAATGGGAATAAGGTAGGGAAAATTTGGGAGAGATAATTTAGGTAATGTATTGTTAGTTGATACAATCAAATTGTTGGATGGTAAAAACTGGAGGGCAACACAGTTTCCGTCCAACCTCTCTACTTTTGGGCCCTCCTTTATGTGGTAAGAAATTCAGCTGGATGTAGATTTTTAATTGTTTATCCATTTCCACCCTCTATCTAGCAACAACCACTGAACATCTGAGGGATCACTTGGTTTCAGAAAATGTTTTCTGTTTTCAATTTTAATTACAACATGTGACTTTTTTTTTTTAATTTGATTCTAGGTTTGAAAAGTTTGAGTAAGAAAATGTGGGAATGTAAAACGAAACTATAAAACAGTAGCAAGTTGTTTTCTTTTAAAATTGAAAGCAAAATGAAACAATGTGACATTATTGCGATTAAAAAGTGAAAGTAGAAAACGAGATTAAAATAAATTTCCTCAAACCAAACGACCCAGCCTGTTGGACATACGATTAGATTTTGTGGTTTTACTTGTTGTAGCAATTATTTAATCCATCAGGCTTTGCTTCATGTTAATTTGTGTTTGCTTGCAATATGGATGCATAACCTATAAATTTTTTAGTGTTCTTGTGAAGTTCTATAATGCTACTATGCAATCGTGTTGATTTCACTGTTATTTGGTCTTGGCTTAAGACGATCGTACTAGAGTTAATACGGACAACATCCTGGAAGAAAGAGATCCCAAATTTGATGCTATGCTTGGTCAAATGGTTGGTAGAATTAAATCGAAGCCTGGGGGTAAACCTGAGATGGGTGAGGTGAGTATATCGAAGATTTTTTTACTCTTTGTGTAGAGTTGATGCAGAAATGTCATAAGTTGTATGTAATAATGTATAACTCCGACATTTGAGATTGTTTTATTCTTCACCCTTTTCCAATGAAACTCCTCTAGTGTTGGATGTTGAGCATTATTAAAGTTTATCACTGTATCTTAAGGTCGAGGAAACCCTGTTTTTCTATATTGGTTTGTTTATCTCGTGTCAAACGAAAGGAAATCTGTAAAATAGTCCTCTCTTTGGCTGTGTGTTGTATATTAATGTTTGCATAAAATTACTGTCATGTATACCTTTTAATTAAATGTTAATATGTGTCTAGAGATCTTATACAATGTTCTTCGTTATCAATTATGGTTTCTGTCATTTGTTACTCATGGTATTACCATGGTGCCAGGGGAACCTGACAAATTTGATTAACTTTTGTTTATGTGGGTGTTTGGATGAGCTTATTTAGAGAATAAATAAACTTTTTTAGCATCTTCGATAGATATTTAAAAAAATTACTCGAAGATAGTTTACCATGCAGTTTCAATGGTCAAAGCTTTACTTTGACCTTTTAGTCCATGTTTTACCAAGACAACCTCACCTTACAGTCAGACAATATTGTTACAGGCCTTTGTGGTAGAGAAGTACAATAGGCCAATGCCGAAATTGCGAAACACAAAACCAGATTCTGGCCGCAATGAGGAGAGGCCAGTTCCTGCTGGCACTTTGAATGTAGCTCAGTTGCGCCATATCATCCTTTTGCATGAAGGCAAGGCTGATGATTACAATGGGCGTATGGATGCTCACCAGATTGCTGAAAAATTTCAAGTGGATTATGTTCAGATTCAGAGGATCTTGCAATTCTTATCACAACCTCCTGAAAGTAGCAGTAAAGACAAGAATGAAACACCAAGATAAATAGCTTACTGCCATTACTTACTGATTCTTGTCTTAAAATGGCTGTTTTTCTATATGTGGACGAAGTCTTGGCCATTGAAATATGTAGTTCAAAAGAAAAGACAATGCCAAAGGCAATGACATCGGATCTTAATTAACTTGTAATGGACTATATTAGCAGGTGTTTGTGCAGCCCCTACACTTAGGTTTTAATGACAACGTGATATCAACGATTGAATTTGTACTTCTGATGGAAATATGCCCTGGAGAGCGGAGTTCAAATAAGGGGTTTGAAACCCAACAGCTGTGTTATTGTTTGTTGTTTTGCATTGCTCATTCACGACAATTAATAAAACATGAGCAAATTCAGTTTTGTTCTTGCAACATGATTATATTTGTACACTATGTAATTTCTTTTAGATTTGTGTGTAACAGATAACGTTTACGAAGCACGATTAGCAAAACAACGAAGAATAAATCTTAGGCCTTTGGATGTCTTACTATTGCGAGTTGCATTTGATGTTTATATCATGACAAAACAACGGAACGAGTATGCATATTGAAAATCTTCACGCTGTAGTCCTGCACCATGTGCATGTTTGACAAATTCGTAACATTAGTTTCATGATATTAATATGACGCATATTTCAATATGAAATTTATCTGAAAACGCGCGCGCATCCAATTTTAACATGATTAGATCCAATTCCATTACGCAAACTTGAAGATAGAAAATACATTTATTGATTTTTAGCTTTTGCATTGCCAAACCAGTGCATGTAAATTCCAGAGTCCCTCATTGTTCAAAACAAAGACAGATTTTGAATCATTTAGGATACATTAGATGGAAATTAAAATTACCTAAAAAAGAATAACCCCACCAATAGCCTAAGGGGCACCATTCGGCAAAAGTAAAATTGATGTCAACCTGCTAGATCTTAGATTTTACCTTGGCTCAATCTTCACTTAAAAATGAACTAGAATTGTAGCCACTATGTTAAATTATCATATACCTCCAGCTTCCTACTCGGGCGAATTAAGTGGATTAGAAAAGAATGTGCCTCTAGCTTCCTATCCAGGGGAGAAGTAAGTGGATTAGAAAAGAATGAGATATAAAAAAAAAAAAAATCCCCTTCTCCACCTTGGTAAAAAAATCAAGTCAAAAGAGATTCCAGCCAATCTGATGTCAATTCATACGCTACAAATGTTACAGCATTAGCCGGTGCAGCTTTAACAGTTGATGGGACTATCCCCTTATATAGACCAGCCCAACCCTCCATTTGTAATATTCGCCTTATGGCATCAAACATATTTTTGTATGCACGATGTTCAACTCGAGCTCCGTATCTTGGGTGCCTTTGTAGACCTTCAATCTGCATCCACATCAACTCATGGTAACTAGCGGACACCATTTAATCAGGCATGAGGCAACACAAGTTTGCTTATTTTTATGGGGAATGAGGGGTTCAATATTCTAACATCTACCTGAAATCTTTTCTTGACCACATCAAGCGGATGAGTGGCGACCTTGGCGCATGTTCCTGCAGCCACCCCACACAGGAAAAGCTGAAAGCTAGAGATGTTTTCCACAGTAGTATCTGAATATTGACGATGATTCCACGCCTACAATTATCCCACATAATTTATGCATATTAAAAGAACAGGTAGCAAAGTATTGCTCACTATGAAGTAAAAGTTAAAGCATTTATCAGCCCTATGAAGGAATCCAACTCTATCTTAATATGATTTTGTTACTTGTGTGATCAAATTCGCATCAAAATAAATCCAAGTGTCCTTCTGTCATTGGCTACTAGCAATTATATTTAGTCTAACAGAGATGCAGAGCTGAGACTGGGTATGAAGCATAAAAAACATTTTGCTCGGAAACTGCTGTATAGCTTCCATGTTGATGCAAATAGCTAGTGCAAAGATAATAGCTAGATGAACGTTCAATATGTGCCAGGCATAATTATCTCAATTAAAAATAAATGAAATGTTCAATAGAGGAACTGAAATTTTACCATGGTCCAACGTTTAAATGTATCATAGGTGCCGAATTGTAGACCTGCATATGGTATAATCTGAACTAAGGTTGGTGACAATCCAGCATACAAGCCTTGGACGCCACGAGTGTGGACAATATCAACTAATGCTGTTCTCATGTTTGGATAAACCTGACATGGCACAATATTAGTAAGGGATTGTCCCAAAATTGATTTCATGAGAAATCAAGGACCACAACAACCTCCAGCTATGCACTCAAAGCAAAAGTTCTATAGTCAAAGGCCAGCAGTGGAGTTATTTTTTCTGATACGAAATACCATGAATCAATCAAGAAGCAAAGATGAACACTCCCACCCCACAATTGGCAAAATGAATGATCATGAAGCATCACCCCAAAAAGCTTTGTTGTTAGGACAAGACACAAATGAATTAAATTACATCTCGCAAATTCCCCCCTAAACCAAGAGTCTTTCAGGTTTGAAGCAAGAACATATCAGTATTGAAATTCAACCTTTTAATTGGCAGAATGGTGGTAGCAAGTATGAATTCTAAACCACTTGATAATCGAGATTTTTATACGATGTCATGGACCAACTATTCCAAACCTTAAATTGTCAAGTGAATACATAACAAATGGTATTATATCTAACATTTCTAGCAGGAATTAGAAAAAAAAAAAAAAATATATATATATATATATATATATATATATATATACAAGTTTCAGTACAATTGACTTAGAAAGAAGCCGAAGTAAATGGACAGGGGAGGGTCTTTAGAAAGCATGCCAGCAACTTTCTTCATTGACCTTGACAGTTCACAACTACTACACATTGATCGTTTTATAATGCTTATACCTTTGGTTCACCCTGGGAAGCTAATATGGTTCGGAGAAGATCAAAGGGATATGACCCTACAGTAGCAGCAGACCCAGCTATTGCCCCACTCATATAGGATAGATAAGGGCTCAAATTCATATGATTCTCTGCAGCAACAGAAAGCAAAGCAATGAACAAAATAGACCTACAACAGGAAATGCCCAAGTAATTAATAACTCTAGATTGCACATGGACATAGCTTTGACCTGGTATATAAACAATGAATACACCTTTAACTACATATTTAAACGGATAATGATGCGAGAAACAAGCTTTCTTAACAACATCAACAAAAAAATATTAGTAGACGGACACCTAGGAGATAAATTGCAAATGTAGGCATACACTTGATAGACATACCTGTTTTGGAAGAACCAGAGGCATAACTCTTCAACATGTGTAGAACAGTAAACTGTATACTTGTATATGGCATAACCATGAGCAAGGCTGGCAAATTGCCCCGCCAAAAACCCTGTAACATAACAGATTTAAGAAACGTAATACAGATTTTTTCCCCCATGAAAGAAGTTGAGAGGAGATTTTTTAAAGACATTAAGAATTCAAGCATTATCAAATATACTGATCTAACCAACAGCTTATTGGTGCCCTTTTAAGGTAAATAGGAATCAGATGCAGATAACTAACAAAGAGAAGTAAAGTATGGCTAAATTAAACAAAAGTAGTCGAGGATGGGTTATCCTACCCGCATGCCTTCTTCTCTGAAAATATCCTTGCTTGCTTGAACCATGCCGGTATATTTTGAAGGAGCAGACAAATCCTTGCGTGGTAAAGTCCATGAAGTTGTGGGCTCTAGTTGAACCTGACGATGAATACAAATAAACAATATTTTCAGCTCAGTTCTCACCTTGATAAGGGACCGGATACAATGAACAGCCATGATGATGAACCCAAGTACCCTAATCTCATGCAAAACTTAAAAACATTGACAAGTACAAATAAATCTTATTATGCAATCCCACACCAATGCAATCATCCCCGAGGCAACATAAATTTCAGATAAAATGATGCCAACAACTGAGTAATACCAGACATATTAACTAAGTAAACTGAAAACCTTTGGGCATTCGATCACCAGGGTGAATGCAATTTTTTGATAGAAAATAGCCCTTTTCATCTAAACAGTACATGGAAAAGAAAGAAAAAAAAAAGTCAAACAATTTCCAAAATTCCAACCAGATATGTAATTAGCTTTTTGTTTAGAATCTACCACGTTTGGCAATCAAAGTACGTCATACTCGATAAATTTCAAACCAGAATATGTAAATTAAGAGATCCAACATAGCATTCAAGAAAGTGCGAGATAGCGACACCCCTACAAATCACAAATTAAAGTTAAACTGTAAATAGGCCACCATCATGTCAGACAAACCAGCCCTCTTTATCATGACCAAACCCAGTATTCCCAGACATAGACAAATTCACACACCTAGACATTGACCCTATTGTATGTTATCTTAAAATTTGAACTTTAACCTAATTCAACTCCGAAAGCAAACTCGTAAGGTGAGGGTTACCCCCATTTATCATATACATTGTATTGTCATATCACTAATTGATTTGGAATATCTAACACACTTCTTAACATTGAGAACTAGACATCTCAAGCCGAAGTTTACAAGAGTGAACGTATGCAAGTGGTTGAATATAGGTTTGACAACAATTTTTAGAATACGTTTGATAAGATCTTAAAATATAGGTTTCAGTCTAACCAGTCCCCAGATCCAGCTCGTGAGATAAACGTTGTCCTCGCTTATATTTGTCCGAAGATGTGGGAAACTCCATCATGTTATTCATTAATTAAACACCGAAAATTACTTAAAAGGATCCCAGTAACCAGTGTCCTTAGGGAAAACTCAAAAATAGAATATGCGACAGAATTTCAACAGCATTGGAAATCACAGTAGATATGCATCAATGTAATGTTTTAATGAAAACTTTCAAGTTCACTCAAAAGCATTTGTCTATTTTAAAACCAAAATGAGTTCGACTTATTACACTTTCCGAAGCAGAACAAGTGTCCCATAAAATGACAAAAAAAAAAACACAATTGGGTGAAAGAAACACGAGTAAAAAAAATCATAAAGGCTAGTAATAACCAAAACACTACCTTCCTTTCCATCATAAGAAAAATAACTGAAGAGATAATTATACAAAGTTTTACTAATTTCAGAGCAATTTAATTTTCAAAATATTCTTGTTATTAATCTTGTAAAACGTGCAAAGCATGATATTTTTAGGAAAGTATAATAAAAGTAATTAAAATTTGGTTACATTTAAGAAAAAAAAAGTATGTACGGTTTCACATGAAAGCGCAACGGTGAATTAGAAAATGCGAATAAGAGAGTCAAACCTGGAACCTAATCTTGATAACATCAAGAGGCGACGTGACGGTCCTGGATACAGCACCAGAAAGAGCTCCAGCGGAGGCATCAATAGCGGCCCGTTTCAGCTGGCTCGGTTCCCCCTCCATTGCATGAAAACCCTCCAAATCGACCTAAAACCTGCACCATCACAAAACAAAATCCACACGTGAATATAGTAATAACGATCGTGAGGGAAATCGTTAAGACTTCCCTTGAATTTAGATAGAGCATGGAGAATAGACAGAGAAGGAGTGTACCGGCGAGAGAGGAAGGGGAAGGAGGCGATGGAGGAGGGAGGGGACATTGGAGGCAGGAGTTAGAAGGGAAACTTGTTGGTTGCCGCCTTATTTGAGTCGGAAGATTTTTTATGGCGGCGATTTCTCCGCCTGTCTGAGGCGTTGCAGGAATTTAGCAGAGTCTCGGACATACACACAACACACGGCAATTAATATTATCAATAATTAAAAATAAAAATAAAAATAGAGAGAGACCATGGAGGATTTTTCCCTGAAAAGCAAAGAATGTAGTTATTGGATTGGACACAGCGATTTCAGGGATTGTTTGTTTCCTTCCGTTTCTAGCTACAGCAATTGTGAACGTGAAAAGTTCCTCCCAACGTGATTATTGATTTTTGGAAAATGGTAACAGTCAAAAAGTTATTGGTGACTTTTTTATTAGTACTAAGATACTTCAAATATTATTTTTTACAATTTTTAATATTTTTCATATTAGTTTTAATAAATAAATAATCATTGGTTAGAACACTACTTTTTAAGATTTTAATATTTTTCTAATTATATTGTAATTATAAAAAATCTATTAGCATTTATTAATATGACTACGATTCGTCACTTCGTAAGGTTTTTTTATTCTATAATATTTTTTAATCTTTAATATTTAAATCCAAAATTTTTAATGAGTTTTACCTACTAGTGTTTGCAGACTCGTGATCTCCTTACCCAAGTGTACCTTGCCACGGGTTTCACGACTCCTCTAACTTAACCTCTCAATCATATGAGTAATTATTTTTTATAATAAATAATTTATAGAGTTGATAACCAAAAAATTATGTTAGTAATTATATATATAAAAGGTAAAATGGTAGCAGAGTCCATTTTAATATCAATTATATATTCAACACGCACTACAAATAATACATTATTTAGTAGAAGTTAAATTTTGACGGTGCTGTAACTTATACAATTATGACAATTAATTTAAACCTTTATAATGAATCAATTTTTAATTAAAAGTTGAAAAATATATTAACTATCTTTTTAAGTTCAATTTTTATTGATGTATAATTCTAATTTTGAAAGATTCTCACTCTAATATTTTGAGACGTGTCTCTCACACTTATTTTTATCTTTAGTCCCAGATTTGTCATGACAGAGGTAGTCATGGTCATGATCAACCCATGTTCGACAATGTCTTCGAAAGCAGAGATTTCAATATCAACAATGAGTAAATCCCATTGGAGTCTTAAAATACAAATCCACGGTGTAATTGGAATTATCGGGTCACATAGGGTTTGCTACATTTGTCCAATCTCAATTTGGCATCACATCCTTCTTCTTTCTTATCAATTCTGAATTTTTTTAATTTAAGACATTACTCAAATTAAAAATCTCATCAAAAATTTACAGCAATTTGTCAAACAAAAGCTAAAAGTCAAACAAAAGCTAAAAGAAAAAAGAGTACGGGTATTATTGGCATAATATCCACAATTGGATTCAAGAAAGTGTAGGCTTCGGCATCACATCCTTCTTCCTTGAAGAGTTGTTGGAGGAGATCAAGATTATACTTGCAGCAGAACTGAACCACCTCCACCGGCATGGCGAGACCCCTGTTGTTGTGGCATTGACGAGTTTCATGTCGTCCACAACGACCATGAAATTGTCAAAGACGACCTCCACCATGTTCTCACAAAGGCGTGACATTTGACGAGATCAAGGTCGGGGTTGACCACGTTGATATGGTCGATGGCAAGATCTGAGGCGTGGATTATCATTGAGGATGGAGAGGGGATGCCGATGGAGTGGGTTTGTTGTTCCATTTGCTTGAAGAACGTCGGCGATGTAGGTAAAAGTGAGCCTTGTTTTTTAGTTTTCTGTCATCAGAGAGACACAACCACAACGAGTGCCACACCACACTACACCTAGATTTATTTCTTTGACCCTTTTTTTATTTCTATATTATTTTATATTCGTTTTTCTTTTGATTTATTGTTTTACTAGCACACCATATGTGAATTCAACGAATTCAAGTTTAGGATTAAGAAATTGGTTGTTGTCTTGGATTTTCATGTTTTTGGCCTATCTATTGCATTGACCTTAAGGTTGATATTGAACCACAAAATGTTTTATATGATAAGCTCACATTTAAGCAGGGATTTTCATTTAACAGGTTTTTTTAGGTTCTTCTATGATGAGTAGTCATGGAAATTAGATTTGACCTTTTATACTAGAGATTTGTACAAATGATGAAGTTAAATTTGTGATTTAACTCAGTTTATACTAAGATGTTTAGCTGAAAACTAATTACAAACAAATTATGAATAGATACCAACCCATTGGAGTCAAATCCTACTTCCTGCTTGGATTTTTCTTCATTGAAGTTGTATGACTTACCCACATTGCTTTTATGGCAATGTGCATTATATGCCAGTATTTGATGCATTTGGTTAGAGTAATAATCCTATTTTTAAGGGGGTTTATTTGGTCTAGTTGCTTACTGAGATAAATTAGGCTATCGGCTTCTATTTGGTGTGAAGAACACTTTCTTTTTTAAAGGGGTTTTCTTAGCAGATATATGGAGGATTGGATGCTTTGCAACTCCTGATTCTTTTTCTTGTTTTATTTTTCCATTATGGTCTCGTATCCTCCAAATTCCTTTGTAATTTTCTTCTCTTCATCTTAATGGCTTTCTTGAGTGCAAGTGTTGGTGCAACAGTAAGGTTGTTGCCTTATGATGTGGTGGTTGCATGTTCAAATCTTGGAACTATCTTTTAACTTGTGGGGTAAAGACTACTTACATTTATGTACTGGGCAATATTTTTTTCATCCGGACGAATTTCTTCATTGATAGATTGAAAAAAAGTGAAAATTATATGGGACAAAGGCTAAAATTGTGATACTGCATTAAGGACGAAAATTATTTTTATTATATATGTAAACAGATGCTTAAATTATCTTTCCATGCAATTTTTTTATGTAGATGGAATAATTGAATGGAAAATATATTTGAACTGTGGGACCCATTAATATGAAGTGTTATACTAATAGTACATTCGTTGGATGATTTTTCAATTTTTACTGAGGTTTTAGGAGATATAACTATAAGAGTTTTCTCATATATTAATGTTGTTATAATGTGAGGCAAAACTTGGATAGTATTGTGAATAAAGATAACAATCACCTCCCCTTACAACAACAAAATTGTTTGTTTCCAAACGGTTTTCCTTCTTCTTTTACAACCTTTTTGTTTATAATGCATGCATCAGATAATGTGGACACTCATTTCATCTGCTTTGCTTGTGTGGATGGTAATTTCTTTATATAAATAACGGATTAATGTTATTTTGTTTGTGTTGTTTTCGTAAAAAGAGAAAAACAATATATCAAGATGTGATTCTATCAACAACACTGAAGTAGTTATATAAAAAGGCTATAAGTAAACTATGTAAGATCCTATTCATGTCTAGTTCAATTTGTTGTTCAACTTTTGCAGTTGCCAAAAATTCATCTGATTAATTTCTCTGCATTATATGATATGCAAGTCAATTGTATGAGCTTGATGGAAGAAAGTCAGGACCAATATCTCATGGTGCTTCCTCACCAAGTACTTTGCTGAAGGTAAATTTCTTTCCACGTTAGGCCTATAGTTTTATCATTCCTTGAAAACATGTATTTAGCAAAAGGAGCTGATTTAGTTTACAAATGTTAGTAATTATGTTGTCATTTCTGATTTTGAATGATGGATGAAGAAGCAAACACAAATGTGTGGGTAATTGACTCTGGCATTGGAGCACCCACCTTTTAGGAGAAATTTTTCTGATAGAGTTGTAAAGTTAGTGATCAAAGAGGCTTTAGAAAGAAATTCTACTTATTGTTATTATGAGAATACAAATTTACGCAAAATAAGCTAAAGCTACCCCCTAATCATAGAAGGTAAAGTGGAAACAGATAGGAAATTACTCCTAACCTACAGTAGCTATCATTAATCAGGATACAAATAAGAAATTACGATAAATATACCACATTGACAACTACTTGCATTAACTGCCACCTCCTAGATGACCAAGATCTTCTCCAACATTCCCCTCAACCTGGTGAATAGATATTAATCATTCCTAGTTTATCTATTAAGAATTACTCAGATGTTGCTCATGCATCATGGTGTCATGTTGGAATACAAAAGATATTGATAATTTGATACCCCCTAAAACAATTTCATATTTGATAGGATTTCTATCAATTTTGACATGTTTTGTTGGGTAGGCTTGTGAACTATGCTTGTTGCTGATTCACTGTGACTACAAATCATCATAAACAACATTGTTTTAGGGAAGGGTTTTGAAGTCTATGCCACTTTATCATGGCAGTGCTATTATAGCATGCAATAAGTCACTATGACAGCTGCAATGGCTGGTATTGAAAAATCAGTCTACTGCTTGAAACAACATTGCTACCGCATTTTTTGATTCATTATTTTATATGGAAAAATTGTTATCTTTAAAAAGTTATTTTGTCTGGTGTATTTGCAGGTTCAATGAATGGACCTTGCTGGATCCACTCACATGGCCAGTCTTTCTTATACAATATTTGGTAGTTAGTGGACATGTAAATGATCATGAATGGAGAGCATTTCACGAAGAGATATCCACTAGGAAATATTATGCATAGTGTGACGTTTATTTTTATTATTAATCATTATTATTATTATTTGTATAAGAGTAGGAGGTCAAAAAGAATATTACATATATGTAAAAGTAATTTACATCACTATATAAGATATACAAAAGAAGAAGGAATTTTATCTTTGATTCCTTCTATATATTTTTTTTCTACAATTTTACAAGTATCTACATTGGCGATGGAAACAAACCGATTAAGGGGTTTTGAAAAAAAGTAGGAGGCATAAAAAAGGTAACTACTATTGGCCCATCTAACATAATGGGATTTCCCATATCGGATACAAATGTTATTATTGAAAATCCTATCCCTCTAAAAGTAACCGAGTTGTCTATAACATTCGTGTTCCAAGTAGTTCCTGGAAAGAAGGCAGTGATGCTTGCGAAAAGGGATTTGGAATATTTGGCGCCTCCATCTACTTAAGTTGGTGTTTAAATAAAACATGCACAAAAGATCACAATAGGGAGTGAGAATATTTATCAATTACAATAATACAATCTATAATATATATATATATATATATATATATATATATATATATATATATATATATATGTTTCAACTTCCTCAACACATTCTATTTTATGAAGATTTAAATTAAATTTGTAGTGACTAGTCAGGATAAATGAGCTCAATTTTAATCATGTTCACGAGTGATATTTACTCATTTAAATCCCCAAGGTCCAACCTCCATCTACAATATCATCAAATCTTCACAAATAGATATTATTATAATTTATTAATATAACTATAGATTAATAAATAGGATCATTGCATTACTAGAGATAAAATAAAGTAAACAAACAAAACCAGTATGTAACTGGAGATAATTAAAATAGGACCAGTGCAAGACTGGAGATAAAATAAAATAAACAAACCGGACCAGTACATAACTGGAGATAAGTAAAATAGGACCAGTGCAAGACTGGAGAAAAACAGGATCAATACATAACTGGAGATAAGTAAAATAGGACCAGTGCAATACTGGAGATAAAATAAAATAAACAAACCGGACCAGTACATAACTGGAGATAAGTAAAATAGGACCAGTGCAAAACTGGAGATAAAATAAACAAGCATAAGGTAGGATCATACGTAGTTAGAGATAAATAAACAAATAACTAAATAAATAGAATGAGGTTAGGGACACCTCACTCCACAACTATAAGCAAAATAAAATAGATTTAATGATAATATTCTCCTCCCCTACCTTAAGAGTTGCGGATGAGGTACCAAAATTTTTGCAGAGACAAATTTTTTTTTTTTTCTCTTTCTCTTCTTCCTTCTCTGTTTCTTTTTCTTTCTCTTTCTCTTTCTCTCTCTTCCTCTCTCTCTCTCCTTCTTTCTCTTCTTCCTTTCTCTCTTTCCCTCTTTCTCTCTCTCCTTCTTTCTCTCTCTTCCCTTCTCTCTTTCTCCCTTCGCATCCTTCCCCCTGCCCCTTTTTATAACCAAAATTTTTATTTATTTATTATTATTTTTTTTAATGAAATCATTAATGACGGATAAAACTTACCCATTAAGATAAGTTAATCTTATCTTTCAATTTATTATTATATATATATATATATTTTTTTTTTTGAGATATTACATTTCCCCTATACTTACGTAAATTTCGTCCTCGAAATTTTTTTAGCGACTAAAATAGATAGGGGTAACTTTCCCGATTTTCTTTTCTAGTTCCCATGTAGCATCTCCAGTAATTTCATTCCAAACAACCTTCACTAGTGGGATTTGTCTTCCCCTCAGTTGCTTGATCTGCATATCTGTAATCTGTACAGGCATTGTTTCAAATGTAAAGTTATCCTTTAATTGTACTGTATCTGGCATTATTACATGAGAAGGGTCGAAATATATTTTCTTAATTGAGACACATGAAACACATTATGAAGATTAGAAAGAAAAGGGGGTAAGGAAATTTGATAAGCAACAGGACCTATTTTTCTAAGAATTTGATAGGGACCAATAAATCGAGGAGTGAGTTTCTTGGCTTTCATTACTCTACCAACTCCAGTTGTCGGTGTTACTTT